CAAATCATTAAAGCAAATACTTGTTTATATATATATATAAAATAATGTTTTCTTACGATCAACATTTCTGTTCTTTCACCACATGTGTTGTAATCAGTAGGTTCTGAGATCTTTTCCTGACTCTGACAGCTCTGTTCTTGTTTCTGAACAGATCTGTAATTATCACCATTATTTTACTTTGACAGAGCCTGGAATGAAGTCAYCTTTAAACATAGAGTCTGGATGTTTAACAGGAAAATGTCTGAATGCTTCGTAGCATTTTTGACGATTTATGATCTAAATTTGTTGTGATATAACCGACCAATACATTGAACGATCAAACATAAACGACAGGTTTTACATTGATTTTATTTATTTTTTTGCCTGAGTTATTACCAGTCRTGTGGGTTTTAATATTCAAAAAGTGACAAGAAAGTTTATAAGTTGTAATTTTCAAATAATGTCATCACAGTGTGATTATAACTGGCTCTATTAGAGCCACATTTTGAACTTTATTTTGTTTGGTGTAATACCCAAAGGTCACAGTGGGTGGCACCATTGTATGGTAAAAGGAGCCACAGGTGATCACTCAGCAGGTGTGCTAAATATGGTGGAAAACAGTTTTTTTTTTTTACTGTTGTCATCGTTTATTTTTTTGTTTTGTCAGCTATGTTTTTTGATTATAGCGTTACGGCAATTGTGTCAACTTTCTGATTGCTCTGTTAATGTAAGTTTGTAGCATTAAGTTTCACATGTTGGAGAGAGCAAGATCAAATAAGTGCTCTTTAATTGTGATCAAGCCTTCATTCATTGGATCAAGGACAACAATACATCAACTAAATGCCAGTCAGCAGCCCCTCAGTGGCTTAGGTTCGTTTCATTTTTTTTGTTATTAACAAGTCACTATAAGTTTTATAATTAAACAAAACCAAATGCTGTGTGATTATAAAGCTTGTGGATAAAAGTCAACCTGTGTGATCATAGTGTAGTTTACTGCTGACTAAATGCTGTATGAGGATGCAGATGAGGACACACTGAGTACCCTTGTTGGTTAGGAAGGTAATGTTTTTATAAATATATTATTTATTGATCTGAATGATGCCCACAGTATGAGGTGCTGTTTGTAAAGTTACACAGTCAAAAATTACCACCAATATTTTTGTTTTATTTAGACTTTTATAAAAAGAAAAGAACTGATTTATTTTTCAAAGTCAGTTTTTCACTGGGTGTATATATTTATAATATTTATGAATGTAGGCATGTATGTATGTATGTATATCTTTACATATGTATATG